CCCCACCCGCCTTCCTGTCCTCCACACCAGAAGTCGCCTCAAGCAAGGTTAGTGCTCTCTCTCTTCATACTGTACTGTACTGTACTTCATATTTTTGTGGTTTAAAAACTTTTTTAAAATACATTTTTTTTAAAAAAAATACATATGGTTCAGAACGGATTAACCGTATTTACATTGAACCTTATGGGAAAATTTGATTCGGTGGGTGACCAAAATCAGTTGGTGACCACATTTGTAGGGGTCAGAACGGATCAATCGTATTTACATTGAACCTTATGGGAAAATTTGATTCGGTTCACGACCAATTCGGTTCGCGACCAGAGTCATGGAATGAATTAAGTTCGTGAACCAAGGTACCACTGTACTCATGTAAAGGGCTTTTGTAAACAATACTGAATGCCTATGAAATACACAGAAAATGCAAAATACTCTAAGTAAATGCTAAGCATTATTTGCACACAGCCCTCAAAACCAGAGGAGAACATACTGTTTTCAAGAGAGAACTGGTAAAGGAAATAAAGTAAATCTATCAGAGATGACTACTAGCTTTAATATAAAAATATATTTTCTTTAATTCAATATATTCAATATATTGAATAATAAATTCAACCAGTATAAGGGCATCCTCTCTTTTCAAAATACTCACTTTCTATGCCTGAGGAAGGCAACTAATTCAGTTTGAGAATAACTTGGGTAGGCTTGAAAAATATGGCTAAGGAGAATTTAAAAGTGAAGCAGCTTACTTTAATTCTTTAGTCTACTTGTTTTTTTTTAATATTTGTATGATGGGAGTATTGATACTACGCCTAGCTGTACAGGTAGTCCCTGGGTTAAGAACACCTGGTTTACAGATGACCCAGTCAAGAACAGAGCCTATTATAGCAAAAATTCAGTTAAATACACGATTTGAGTTAAATACACAATGGTTTGAGATAATTGTACAATAGTACTTATATATGCAGTAATACTGTTCTGGCTTACATACAAATTCAACTTAAGGACCTTGGGAATGAAACTCATTCTTAAACTGGGGACTACCTGCACATCCTATGTCAGCTGGAAGATCAACATGAGCTTGTATCATAATTTCTCTCAGAGCAAAAATCTGTCATTAAGCCAGTTAAATAGCAAAAGGTTCATGTTATTGAAGATATAGAGCAACATATACCACCTTAAGGAAGAGACACAAGGTTATTTTACTTTGATATCAAGTATATGACCACACCTTAGAATTAATATTTATTAAACCCTTACAAACAAGGAGTGTGCATGACATAGAGCACTTTTAGTATTAGAATGTTAGCAATCTAAGAATAACAATGTGCTCTCCCCCAAAACCAGGTCAAGTCTTTTAGATTAGCAACAATCTGAGAAAGCCATCTCATTGAGGATATTAAACAATATACATTTTTGGAAGAATTGGCTAGGTTTCTCAACCATCTCTACTGCTTTTCTGCAATAATGGTAGCCCAGTCCTCCTGAAGGATCAGAGAACCTGGTAGAATTTCTGTTTGAAACACTTGGCAGCAGGAAATCTGCATGCTTCATTAGATAGCTATATCCATATTCTAACCAAAAGAGCATTTCTCCGTATCCTTGGTTATACAATCATCATGGATTTTATCTTCAAACTAAACAAAAAAAAATAGTTTGGTATTTTCCTTAAGAAAAATAAAGCTTAGAATTGCAACAATGTCTTTTTCCATGTCAGAAAGCAGTGACAATTCATATGTAGCTTTGTTTAAGTATCTGCTGCTTTGTCAATTTGCATCAATGATCAGGTTTAATTAGGCATTTACCAAATTTTTAATATTAGTCATAGGAGCAAGAAACACAAAACAAATATTTTAAACATATGTATCAATAAGCAAGACTCCAAAGTCTGTTTATTAAACAAAGTTTTCAACTGTAAATTTGACAGACTTTACACATTCAGCTCTTTTAGACCAGGTCCTCTACCAGGACATATAAATATGTCTGTATAGAAAAAAAATTCTCTGACAAATCTTTAATTTTTTTACATGCTTTCCTGTAAATTTTTTGCATGCCTTCAAGAGCTACCAGGTATTAGAAAAAGCCCTATTACATTCAGCTTTCTGAAGGAGAGTGAATTATTTTTATGGCCATGTTTAAGAATATCTTCTTTCCAGAATACCAGCACTTGGTACTATTTAATATCAAGGAAGCTGGAAATCAGAATACTAAATATAGCCTATCTCCCTTCAGGAAATAATATAAAAGACAAAGACAACACAGTACAACAAAGACGAGAGATTGAAGATGTTTACTTCTGAAGTCCAGTTTAGGTTTTAGTCTCATTCTTTCTAATGAGAATCTACACGGGCTTGCCCTGACTAGGGCTTGTCAAATAGGTGAAGCAGAAATCATGACTGGTTGCCATACTCAGATTCAAATTTTGAGATGTTTTCCTGTTTCTCTCTGTAACTGTTCCTGGTTATAAATGCTTTGAGCAAAGGCAATCTGGGTCTAGAGTCATTTAGCAGTGCAATACTCATTTTTCAAGATCTGGCTTCTTTGAAACTTTTTGTAACATAAAGTTACTCTCATATCCACTGCCAAAACAGACCCTGAAATCTTGATTCCAGTCTGTAATCCCCCATAACAGAGGTAGTGCAGTCTACTTCTGCCAGTCTTATTATATTGGCAAGATCTGTTCTAGGACACTTTTGGAAGACTGTGGAATTCTGTCTGGGAATCTTACATCAAATTCAATAATAAGATCCCCTCGCTGGTTTGGATTCTTGGGAAATGGAAGGCCTTCTCCAGGAATTCTTCGCTTCATGCCAGGTTTAATGACATCTTTGAATATCATTGGTATGGATCTACCATCTAACGTTGGTGTATTCACAGTGCAGCCACACAAAGCCTGAATATAAAAATAAACCAGATAAATTAGTACATTATTTTTTTGTGAGAAAAACTAGGGAACATTTCATTTTTATTCACCTGACACTGACTTTAAACTCCATAGATTCCACAATGACAAGAGAAAATGCATGCCACACATATATACTTCAGTGTTTTTCTTGTTCACACTACTGGAGTAATATGAAGTGTGTTTCTTGCATGTATTCCATAATGCTGTCACAGTGCCTTGATAGTATATACTGTTAGTGGCTATTTAAAGTTGCAACAAGTATATCCTTATAATTTTATACAGATTAGAGTTTAATTTGGATAATCTATTTCAAAATGCAGTAATTCAGACATTTTGTTACCTACTTCACCTTTCAAATGACAAACCTAGCATTTTAACTTACCTCACGGAGGCTGATCTTAGCTGGGTATACAATATCAGACCCATCTCTCTTAAAAATGTTGTGTGGTTTGTCCTTTAGAACAAAGACAATATCAGCTGGAATGTTGGTTGGTGTTTGGTCCCCTTCCTTGGGGAATGTAATCTTAGTTCCTTCTTTCCACCCTCTTTTTACTTCTATTGTTAAAATCTTGTCCTCACTGCGTGTGCTTTTCCCATCTGGATTGAGACGCTTGTGTGAAATTTTCATTTTCTTGGTGCAACCTGTGTAAATTTCTTCCAAGGACACCCTCAACTCATGGATGATTGGAGGATCTTGTTTCCTGCGGATGTTGTCATGTCCTCCACGACTACGAGTAAAGCCAATGTTGCCAAAGCTTTGAAAACTTGAAAAAGGGTCATCAACATCCATGTCCTCATCTCCATTCCTCTGAACAAAAAAGGTATCAAAAGGATTCCGCCCACCAAAGAACTCCGCAAACATGGCATGAGGATCTCCATGAAAGGTATAAGTGAATGAAGTACCATTAGGACCTCCTCCACTACAACTGGGACCACCTCCTTTTAATCCTGAAATATGGAAAACATATAAATATACTTCTTCCAGTAATACTCATTTTAATGCCTCATGTTACATTATGCACTCCGTTTCCAAAAGTCTCTTTAGTATTATTTTTGAGATTGTCAAATAGGGCTAATCTTAGAACTGCCTCAACTTTTTCACCTCCATTTTTTTCTCCCATGATTCCCTTTTTCACTGTGTTCATAATTGTACTATACAAAATCAGCAAAAACCTTTTCAGTGTTTCACACTCTGTACCAATATCCTGAACTGAATGTTATTGCAGATATAACACAAATTATAGTTCATTTTACCTCAATCTGGATAAACCGATAGGTATCTTAAGCATTATGAAAAAACAGTTAAACAGCAAATGAAAGGAACATTGGAAAGGACACTTTAGCATAAGAATATGCTAGAATATTCTAGCTACTACTAGAAGACTTTGCAGAAAAGGCTCCACCTATCTTAGACAGCTTGTCATGCAGCCCAAATATATGCAGTGAATACATATTTTATCAACTCATTTACAGGAAAATCACTGAGCATTATCTATGAATACAAGTGAGACAATAAAACCCAGTATTGAAATGCTATTCCAAATCCTGTACAAATTTTATAGTAAGTTAAGGGCTTCAGTTTTAAATGCTACATTTATTAATACGCCAGACATGGAATGATGTTCTTTAAAAGGTACATGCCACAAGCTATAAAGTTGCCAAAAATGTATACACAGCAACCTTTATTAGTGTAAATAAAAAGTATCAGATCATTAAACAGGATCTAGAAAAATCCTGCATTTTAATGTATTATTTTGTACTTTCTTCCTGCCTTAAGCATCTCCACCTGGCTGCAAAGTAAGCTTCCTAGACAGGAAGAACCTGTAAAGTAATGGTGGATTTTTGAGGAGTGACCTTAATGCAATCAGAACAATTCAAAGATGGCAACTCATCTGGCCAGTTTCCAGAAGGGAGAGTAAAAGAACTTGTTTTCTTGTTCTCCCCTACTTTGCCCTCCCTTCCCCATTCTTGAGAAACTAGTCCCAATAAATTAGTCGTTTTCCACAGCCGCTGGGAAAAGAAATATTTATTAATAAGACCTAAAAGCTAGATCTGACAATAAATTATAATAGTAGCAAGCTTGAAAGTTAGCAGCTATCCTTTCAGGGTGGGGGCAAGATATTAGCAGCCAAGGGAAACAACAGGATATAATTTTTAATCTGTCAGAACTACAGCCGAAGGAGGGGGGAGACTCTGGTTTAACGAAATTTTAAAGATAAAACATTTCAAAGTTGAAAACATTTATTCAAGTCCTCTGCCCGAGTAAGGTTGTTTCACTTTTAAAGTTTCACTTTGAAATTTCATTCGTTTTCGTGAGAAAAACTCAACAGGGAGGCGCTTTCATTCTGCTTCCCTGGACACCACAAAACCAGGGATTCTTGTTTCTTCCCTTGCGTCCTGCGATTTAGACTGTGATTATTTCAATCTCTCTCTTAGAGAACGCAGCAAAGACAGCACTCTAAGGCAGTTTCTCCAGTCTCGGCTACAATATAAACAAACTAGATCCTCCCGTAAACTCGGATCAGCGAGAACGTGTCCTACTGACATCCTCCCTCCCCGATGCATTGCAAATTCGATTCCCTTTCGCCCGTTCACACGACTTCTCGCTCCCTTTCTCGGCCCGGCCCCAGCACCTCCCCCAGGCACGCACCTTCCTCTCCGAACTTGTCGAAGATCTCGCGCTTCTTCGGGTCACTCAGCACGTCGTACGCCTCGGCGATCTCTTTGAAGCGCTCCTCGGCTCCAGGGTCCTTATTCTTGTCAGGATGATAGCGCAGCGCTTGCTTACGATACGCCTTCTTAATGTCATCTTCGCTAGCCCCGCGGGCCAGGCCCAGGATACGATAATAATCTTTCCCCATCGCCGTTCACAAAACCCTCAGTAGCCGGCTAGCTACCCTGTCGCCTGCTCAAGCTGTAATTTAGAAGGAGGCGCTTCCCCCTTCCAAGTTTATATGGCGGGCGGAGGAATCTTCCAGAGCTTGCCACAACATTCTC